GCGGCGGACTGCAGCGCGGCCTGCGCGACTTCCATCAGGGGCTGCGCGACGGGCCGGGCACCACGACGACGACGTGTGACGCCGCCACTGCCAAGGCACCGCCAAGGCGTGGCCAAGGCCAGCATGTGCTGCCGTGCTGCCGCCCCAGCGCGCGCTGCCTTATTAAAACGTTGTCAGCGCGATCCGAACGCCGAGCCTAGAAGGCCTAGAAGGCGGTGCCGGGGGAGCGGCTGGGCCATTAGCCCAAGTCACATCACGCAGCCTGCACGTGTGTGTGTGAGCGTGTGTGTGTCAGTGTGGGCGCGCGCTTGCCTTTCCACAGTCGTGAACTAATTGATGGAATTCCAAAGAAGAATCACCTTTTCTGTCCGTCTTTTCCATTCGCATTCAGAAACAGCTGAATAAATGGAAAAGGCTCACCTCAACGCATGTCTCCAAGTTCAAAGGTTCTAGACGTTCACGCACTCCGAGAAGAGCGCGTGGTTCCACAAACCAAAAACCGTGACCATGACGACGACCCGTTCGCTTTCATTCATTGACGGGCTGGAAAATTCAAATGCAATCCAGCCCATTTCCAGGAACCCTCGGTCACCTCCGGTCCACCTAGGCCCACCAGGAGGCCCACCAGTAGGCCAACAAGAGCAGCAGCAGTAAAGTTGGTAGAAAACGGCCGGGCCCGTCGTCAAAGACCCGCCGCGCACTCTTCGGCCGGCCTTAAGGCGTCGCCATCACACTCGAGGTGGGGCCGTGGCGAGGGGGGGGGGGGGGGGGGGGGGGCGTGACCCACAACACGAGCGCGGCTTGGGCTAGGCCTTGTTTCCCACAGGGTCCCAGCAGCAATCAAACTCCCGCACCGCACTTTATTGTCTTAGTCAAAGACAGCGGGGGCCCGGGGTGCAGGCGGCCAGTCGGACGGCCGCCCCACTGGCTGACCGGGGCAGGGAGGGGGGGGGGGGGCCTGTGGGAGCGAGGCGGAAGGGGCGCCTGCCACTAGAAAAAAACTGCCCCTGCCCAACCTGCAGCGCCGCCCCGTATGAAGTGAAGTCAATAAACAAGGTTGTCATGCTCAGAGTGTTTAGTGTGGAATAATGCCTTATCGTTGTGGGATGGACTTGTCCAAGATGTGAGGCGTTCGGTGTCCTAACTACTACTCAATGAATTTTTGCGTGACTGTCTTCCTTGCACCCACGGCGGAGCGCTCCACGAGTGCGACGGAGACAAAGAATTTCTTCAAGTGGCCCGGCGTGCGGTCTTCGCCGGTCTTCGCAGCCACGCGCCGGACCCCTTCAGCCCCTAACCACTTCAACTCCAAGGTGCACGGGCGGGCAAGTTGTTGGCGGCCGCGCCTTTAATATTCAAAAGGGATGACCCTTTGCGAAGTTGAAGCCCGACTAAAAATGACCGCGGAACACGGGCGGGGCAAACTGCGGATGCGATTCCGCGTCCAGATTGCAGAGACGCGGAGACGCGGGCCGCACGGCGTGGCCCGGCGTGGCCCTGCAAAGTGAATTCAAAGTCTTATCGCCTTTACGATTATGCCCCGACTTTGGCTCGGGAGTCCAGGTGGCGCGGGTCTGGCGGCCCTGGCGGCCTCGGATGGAAATTGGGCTCCGACAAGTAACGGTGGCGCGGACGCCACTCCGTAAACTCGACTCGGACTCGGTCGGGGCAGCCTCACGTGGCCGCCCCGCCGCCCCGCCGGGGCTGGCAGCCAGCCAACTGATAATAGCGACGCCCACGTCGAGGAACTTGGCGAGACTGGCGCGCAAAAAAAAAGAAGTGGAGGCAAAAGGCCTGCGTGATTAAGAGGCCTCCCGGACAGAGACGCTTTGGCATGCTTTGGCATGTGCCAAACGGAGGCAAAAAGGGTTCAGCGCCGCGGCGCTGGCAGGGATGGCGGCGGTCTCCCCTTCCACTGCGTTGGCCGGCTACCGACCCCGCTGCTTCTCTCTCTGGTGCTGCTGCACGCAAAGCTCAATGATTACGAAAATTTGAAAATATTATAACACGATTCTGGCTTCCAATTTTATCAAATCGGTGAGGATATCCCATCCTCTGTGGCGCTGCCACGGACGATTGTCTTGTTACGTCATTCGTGCACGCCGTTTGATGAGATTTATTCGGGCCCCGAGCGTCAAAGGGGCAACCCAGGGCAACTCGGGGCAAGCCAGGGCAACCCCCTCGGCAGGTTTGACGACTGCGCGCGCCGCGCGTACTCCAAAGGCAATTTGCAGCAAGCACGTGGACGCGCTTTGGAAGGGGCTCGATATGGAATATCTGCAAAATACATACTCGGGGATGGGAGGTCGCGCACAAGAGGGGGAGGGGGATGAAGGCCTTTTCAAACGAAAGGCTGGAATATATTGCGAGTGGGGCACGCACCGCGCCGTGCCGTGCAGTAGCGTCCTTGCCCACGCCCGCCCGCTGTTGCCCTACCAATTTTCTCTTCCCTTGAGTCCCCCCTCCCACCGCACTCATCCTTCCTTCCTCGAAAAAAAAATTACGCAAAAAAGAATGATGAGGGGAAAGTAGAAATATATACACGCAGGATTTGCAGAGAGAACGCAGGAGAGCGAGCTGACCCTGGGATTGCCTGGGATTGCCTGCACGCTGCCGGTCGGCCACCAAGGACTTCCAGGATCGACCACGGGGAGGAGGAGGCGGGACACTGCGACGCCAGAGAGAGAGAGAGGGAAGGAGCAAACAAAGAAAAGGGCAGAGCGGCATCGCAGAATGAATATTTACACGTTTTGACGTATACAAACAGGCGTCGTTGGACCCGCGGGCCGAGGGGGTGGGGTGGGGGTGGGCTCGAGGTGCCATAATGAGCCTCCGGGCTTCGGCCTCGCTGCAGGCCGGCCACACAAACGGCCGAGTTGATCGGGCCAAGTTGGCGGGCGTGCAGAGCCGCGGACACGCCGCCGAGCGGCACGCCGTCCGGCTCCGTTACGGCAGTTTGAGGCCATCAAACCGGCGTTGCCATCGGCAGTCGGCACGCACGGTGGGCTCCAGTTATGGCTGTAACCAACGTCGTGTGGCGAGCAGTAAAATGAATTCGCGCCATTTTCGCAACGTAATCTCAAGAGCATTTCAAGTGTGAAAATGTCGTTTTCCCCCTTCTACCAAAAAATTGTTTTTGAGAAATCGGCGGTGTAGGGGATTCCATTTGGCTGGTAGGACTCGACCCAAACAAATAAAGCCACTGACATATTCCTTGTTGGCACGGCAATCGACCGGTTCTATCGGGCGTTCGAATCGAGTCCGTTTCAAGACAATGCGTCTGGATGGTCGCGTGCGCCCGGATGGCCCGAACTTCCGCCTGGCTGTCCACAGGTCCCCGTCACGCTGACTGCAAACACAACCGCGGAGTATGTCCTCGCAGAGGCAGCAAACACGATAAACCAAGCCGAGCCCGGCCGGCCCGCCGGGACTTTGTATTGTGACAACCATTGGCCGGGCCGTGGCGAGCCGAGCGCTAATGGGCTTATCGTGATGATGACTCGAATCGCAGCCAATTTTCGTGCAGCAGTCCAGCCCTGCGATGCAGCAGTGCCCTGGCAGTGCCCTGGCAGTGCCCTGGCAGTGCCCTGGCAGTGCCCTGGCAGTGCCCTGGCAGTGCCCTGGCAGTGCCCTGGCAGCCGAGCCGGAGTGTCGGAGTGAGTAACGAAAGTGGCCATTGGGAATAATCAAAGTGGATGCCAAATGAATTTTCCTCCTGGCATTTTTCACTTTTTTTCAGTCTCCTTATTATATACGCGGAAAGGCGGCTCCAGCTGCGTCTCCAGGAACGGACAGCAGTCAACAAGGCAGTCTTGCAGCAACGGAGGACTAGCCGGCCTTGGTGGCCTTGCGAGCCACGTTATTTGGTCGTTATGGTATACAGCCCCGTGGACGCCAGTGAATTCCAGAGTGGAAAAAAAATAATGATTGAAAGAAGGCGGGAGAATCCCGACGCTTCTTGGCGGCCGTCCGCGGCCGCTGCACCGCTATGCTCCGGGCGGCGGCGCCCTCCCGTGATCTCGCGGCGGAAAAATGGAATGAATTGAACGAAAACCGCGGCAAGACGAGGGGGACCCTCCTGTTGGCACACGGACTTATCCGAGGAGCGGGGGACGGGGGGCCGGCCGCGCCGCCGCGCCGATCCCCACGGCATCGTGATAGATTATGAGCCGCTCAGCCGCGGGCTTATCCCGCTAATGTTTTACTGTCGCATTCTGGCGGCGGCAACTCCCCGCGCCTCTGCGCTGTGTTTGTTTGTGTGTGTGTGTGTGTGTGTGTGTGTGTGCGCGCGCGCGTGTTTGTGTTTTGGGAAGCGCGTAGGCAAGGATTTCGCGCCAGAGAGGAGAAGGCCCCATCGATCCCGACAGACAGGCGGCACTTAAAACTGAAAACGCGCGCGCCTTTCTCAAAGGGATGCGAAGCGATACAACACTGCGAGTGGAGGGGAGAGGGGCAGGCAGACAGACAGACAGAGGGGAAGGGTAGAGGAAGACGGCGGACGCGGCAAAGGACTCGCCTGTGCATGGCGGAGGACCTGGAGCCGCCGCTGATTTATACAATCCGATCTTATCTGCTTAGGAGTGAGAGGGAAAGAGTCGCGGTCTGCGGCCACACACACACACACACACACACACACAGAGGAGAATGCGCCTCGGGGGGCAGCAACACACTTGCGGCTGTCGCGACGTATGTAGGGGAGAAGGACGAGGGACAAGTAGGAGGGCTGGGAAAGGGGGGGGGTTAGGGTATGAGGTAGTGCTTCTTTCTTCTGAGCGCCCTTCGTCTGAATGCCGAACGGACGGACAGACAGACCGTCCCGGGGGTGGGAGCGGCAGAGGCTCTGCGGCCGCAGCGATGGCCTAGGAAGGTCCGAAAGGAGGAAATGATCTATGAGTTTCCAACGACGACGCACATCGGCCGATCTCCCCGCCCCTTCCTCGGCGCGCCTCGGCGTCCCCGGTGGCGCTCGGCCCAAGCTGCAGCGGAGGGATGCAAGTTACCTAGTGGCTGGTGCCGGCTGCCGGGGCCGCCGGGGTTGCCGGCATGGCGCGATCGCGGAGTGTCTCCCGCAGCAACGCCGCCTGTCCCTTAATCCGAGATAATCCTTTCTTCCGGGCCGGGGTGGCCGGGGTGGCCGGGCCGCGGGGGCGGAGAGCACTTTGCAGCACTTGACACTCACACAGACACAACACACACGCACGCGCCTTCACATCCTGGACGCGTCACACACACTGACACTACGCGCGCGGCGGCCGCGCGGGGTGCGGCGGGGCGTGGCGGGGTTGCCGGGCGTCGCGCGACGCGAACTCGCGACTCGGCGGACTTCGGGCGTCGCAGCAGTGCGGCACGGAGGGGCGTAGTAGCTCCCCCAGCAGAGGCGCACAGTCGACTGCGGGCCGCCCCGCCCGGCCGCCCCTGCCGCCCCGGCCACGCCGCCCCGGCGCGGCGCCACGGACGCGAGCTTGCCGGCGCCGCCGCTCGGGGTAGCGAGGGCGCCACCGCCTCGGCCGGCCGCGGGGGGTGGGGGCTTGGGGCTCGGCAGGTGGCGGCGCGGGGCGGCGGTGTGGGGCGGTGCGGTGAGGCTGGTCAGGGCAGGAGGGGAGGCAGGGAGGCGGGCGGGCGTGCCTGGCCGTGCCTGCCCGCGCCGCGCCCAGCCGCCCAGCCGCCCAGCGCAAATAATAGTGGTATTTACGGGCAAAGGAATGCCTGTAAGAAGGCGAGGGCAGCATCACGGCCGCGCCGCCGCGCCTCGCCCTGTAGGCAGCCAGCGGCGCCGACGCGGCGCATTGGCGCGCGGAATGCGGCCAGGCCGGCCAGGCCCTACAGCCCCACAGCCCTGTGGGTGGGGGTTAATTACAATCGGCTGCTGGGCAGCGATGCACTCGGCCCTTTCGCAGTCCTTCGGTATCGCCCGCCCGCCCTGCAAAGGGCCTCTTTCCCCCTCCCTCCCAACCGCCCGTTCCGAGCGCACGAATTACACGCGGCATTACTCTTTCGGGTGAATAATGCTGGTGTACCTGCCACCGCGGGAAAGATGCTCGTCAAAGGGTTACAAAGCACACGGCATCATCAAAGTCGTGAGCGATGACTGTCCTGGTGAAAACAAAAAAGAAGTCTGCATAAACAACATTATCTGTAAGTCTCATCGCTTCAAAAGAAACGCTGCTCGTGAAAAACTCATCCCTCAGATAACACCGGATCTCTCTCGCACACACGGCACGGGTCACCTGCAGTGACAAAAAAACTCTTTTTTAGAAAAAAGTAAACAAAAAGTAGGAAAGTGTGAATTTTGCCGTGTTGGGCGGTGTTTGTCCGCGTTTTTGCCGCACCAAAAGGAGCAAGGCCCTCGCCCCGCACCCGTCCCCCAACACGACGACCTTAATGGCGTCCAACGGCACCCGCAGCCCTTTATCTGCCGACACCAAATTCAGCCGCGAGCGGCTAATTCAAATATTTGTTCAACCGCGTGAAAAACCGAACCGCGCGAGCCACTTGTCCACTACGCACACAAATGCGTACCCCCTCATGCGCGCACAACATGCGCGCCCTCTCATGGCCCGGCGTTTGTGTCAGGTGACTGCTCGCGATCTCCTCAGTCACGTCGTGTCCTCCACGAAGAGCGCCGGCTCAGTTTGCGAACAACATATTCCAGGGCGAGATAGTGGCTCGGGCCGTGGACACAAACACAGTCACACCCTCTCGCAATCACGCACACATGCGGCCCCACGCGCCGCGCGATATACGGACCCTGGTAAGTCCTCCTGGACGCACGGCGTGGCACGGCGAGGCACGGCGTGGCACACACACTGCGGGAACGGTTCCTCGACTTGCCGGTAGTCCGTCGCCGGCCCGCCCTTCACCAAGGCAAACAGGGGCGACGCGTCCCCACACACGAGATTACCGCTTGCGCCCAAAATAGTGCCTCTATAAACACGGCCACCTCATAGCGCGCCGCCACCTCCGGGACCTCCGGGCCGGTGAAGGACTGCCGGCCGGTGTGTCCACGCCGTCGACGGGGAGGTGCAGCAGCTGGTGCCAGATGGAGCGTCGCAGTGCTGGCGGCACTGGGGCGTCACCATGGTAGGCAAGCGACGCGCAGATAAAGTGACCAAGAGACGATGGTAACGGATGAGGTGTTAGCTCGGCAAGTGCGCCACCACAATGGTGGCGGTTGACGCGCTGCTTGCGAAGGTCTCGATTGTGGCGGCAGGGATGGTGATAGGCTGCGAGCCACCAAGATAGCACCACTGCGCGAGGGAAAAAGCAGTGGGTGGTCGCCGGGCGAATCCCTCCTTGGAATCATATTTACCTCTATCTCTCCTTTTGTTTTCCCTCTTGCACGTTCTCGCCGCGCGTCCCCCCTCTCCGCTTTTGTTCCTCTGAGCCCGCATCCAAACAATTACAAGGACGGCGCCCCGTCGCTGCATCTGCCCTGGCGCGGCGCCGCAGATACAGGCTTGTTGTTGCTTTGGGTTCTGCAGATGCCGTTTTGGGGTGCGTGGGGGGGCGGGTGGAGGAGGGGGGCTGGAGCGGGATGGCCGCGGGGGGTGGGCCGCGACGAAGTGCGTTCCGTATGTACGTTCTTCTTCAGCTAGGTGCGAGTGGAGTGCACACGGTGGGACACGGTGTCTCGGCAGTAACAGCAAACCGTACGTTTACCAGCCAACACTTCCTCCTTTCCTCGCGCAGCCAGGACAAGGACTCCTCGTCCACGCCAGTGAGCGCACCACGGTACTCCAGTGCCCTTGGAAGGCCTCTGAAACACGCACCATCCGCCGTTTTTCCTCCGGTTCCCGGAAGGACTGCGGGAAATAACCGGCGCGCTTTCCAGTAGAATGGCTCTAGTCTCACCCAGTTAGGTGTGGCGTTGGAGATCGAAGCCAGGCCGGCCAGGCCCGCCGCCGGCCCGCGGACGAGGCATTATTTAGGCCCCAGTGAGCCTCGCAGCGCCCACCAGCGCGACTGTGCCAGCCGACCAGCGCGAATATTACCAACAAAAGAAAAGAATACTTAGAAGGGAGACTGAACTTACACGGAGTTTGGAAGTGGGAGGCGCTACGATGGAAAGTGGGACAACAAAAAATGGAGTGGCGAAACTCCTGGTGTAAACTCGCTACTGTAGCATCCGAACCAATTAATCTGCAGTAAAGAAGAACCAGAGCCCCTTTCTTTACTCAAAAATTGCTACTTGCCAACCAACCAGCCAAGTCTGCTAGTGCTGCGTGCGGGGCAGCGTGTCGCCAGAAGGAGTGGCAAGTTTGTTGGACATTCCTCCTCGGCTGCTCTACGCACTAGCCGTCCCAGTGGAGGCATCCGTAGAGTCCCTCGTCCTAGATAGCACCCCGGACAACAAAAACGCGACGTCGTGATACCGATCTATAAGAAACGTCGTGCTCCAGTTCCACCCGGACGCCGCGCCACGTTGCTCTGGAAACCCCACGCCGACTTGAGCGTCGTGGGGCATTTGAGATTCGAGAAGACAAAGAATGGGGCCGCACCTTTTCCCATCCTCGATGGATGACTTGACTTTGTAATAGGAGTGGTCAGACTGCCGTGCGTGTATTCATTAAATCCAACACCGTACTCCTAGGTTCACAAACTGTTCGCCCACTTAACCTTTCCAGCTAGGCCATTAAAAGAAATGGAAAACCTATGCTGGCCGTTTGATGTTTTCTCGCAGTTGGTGGTTACCGTGCAAATCGAAAAGTTTCCATGTACCTCACTTCATGCAACCAGTTGACATTTCACATAAAATCCTCTCGAACTAATCCGAACGTGTCCTTTTCCGACTGTACTGCGCCAGTGCACTCGACCACGTCATCCGCACTGCTGGGGTGCGTCACCCGCAGTGTCGAAGCAGTTTGAAGAGGACCAGCGCTGTGTAGCGGCACTAGGGGTGCTTCCAGTGGCGTTCATCGAGGGCTTGACCGCAACAGGCTGCCGAGGTAGGTGACCTGGATTCCAGCAACGGTACGGAGCACGATGGAGACAAGGTATCTAAATGAGGCTGATGGGGGGTAGGGTAGGCAAGGAAGGGCTCAGACCAGAAAGGCAAAGACCATTGGAACATGCACTTCGCGTGGCAGATTCAGTTCGTGCAATTGATGTCTCACTGTTGGGCAAGCGCAGAGTCCCGGGTCAGCGGCATAAAAAATCAGGAGGAGGAGTGGAAGCCAGCTGTCACTCAGGGCAGAGCAAGCAGTTGGCCACTCGGCTTCAGAAGGGCCGTCGAGGACGCGTCAAGGACGTCAAATCTAGCGCGCCATCACCGAGATCTCGGAATGAAGGTATCGATCAAGAAAAGGCGGCCACACGCACGCCACACATGCGGAAAGGGGGAGGGCACAGAGATGTGGAGGAAATGTGTAGGGCTAGAAAATGGGGTAAAAGGTGCGGGGGGACGCTGTTGGGAGGTACATGGAAGGTTGGAATGGGCAGAGATGGGACGTGGAAAGGGGAGGGGGAGGTGGGGAGAAAGTGGCTATGAGAGAGAGGGAGCGAGGGCGGAGCGAGTGCGTTTTCGTGTTTACCTCCTCAACATGCTTATCATGTTAAATCTGAATGCTACGTGCCTTTTGCTGGTGCTGGGCCGGGCCTAAATGGCGGCGCCATCTTTGTGTAACCATACACCGACTAACGGGCCTCAGACATTCCAGTCATGCCCAGCGGGCGCAGCCACTCCACACCTATCGCGGGGAAGATAATGCTGAGCGATGCGAAGCGCCGAGAGAGTCCGAAACTCATCTTGAAGCGAAACTACTGCGAGTATGTGTTCCTGCGAGTATCGAGTGGGTCTGATTTTCCACCAGGCCGCCTGGACAGTCGAATTTTGATTGAGGCAAGGCGTGGAGCAACGTCGGACGCCCATGCATACGACCAATATACAGCCCGCGATGGCGTTCGGGGCGGCAGGACCCGAGGTGTCCTGCCACGGTGGCCTGCCCAAGGCACGACCCGCGCGGCAGAGCCGGCACAGCCTTCGGCGTGGCCAAAGCCAGCCGGGATAGAGCGGCGAAAATAAGGAACGCGGAACGAGCGAGGAGGACGGAGCGGCGGCGGGGAACGGGGGGAGGACCACGGTCAGCAGGGGCTGCGGGGGCCCTGCAGGGAGGCGCCTGGCTCGCACGTCCCACCAAAATGTGGCGCGCGCCACCGGACTAGCGAAAGACTAAACCAACACCTCTTCTTGTGGTCCC